CAGGCTCAGACTGGGCTGGCTATGGCTGCTGTCAACGGCGAGGTCTCAGGATGCCGCGTGCAGACCAACTCCGCCACCAACTTGCTTGGCTTCTCCAACGCTACTTCGCGAGAAATGGACTGCCAAAAGTCATGAACCGATGGGCCTAACCTATAGACTACGCTAGACCTAGACCGGACTGACTGATCGACCGGTACCGTTTCTGTTTTGGCCTCTCGGCCTCTACCGGACCCGGATATAGGCTATAGGACCGTCTATCAGCATAGGCCACTTAGGGCCTGTCTGTCCTAGGGGTAGCCCGGGCCTACTCTACACAGTTAGGGTAGCTGTAGGAATTCGAGTTAGTATTGGGCCGATATTTTCCCAGATTTGCAGATATGTCCCTCACGAATTTCCTTACAGGTAGGTCTCTCGGTTAGCCCTGAGCCAAACAAAATTATGAATTTATCCTACCGCTGTACTATACAGCCTCGCAGTCAATCTCGGCAGTAGAAATCAGCAAGTCATTGCAGGCTTACCCTCCCCGGGAGCGAGGACCTCCGAGCTAGGAATGTAGGCGAGGTGAACGGCGAGGAAGGTTTCCCTTCTGACCCGCTTTATATCGAGAGACAACTGACTTTGCTGTCTTGAGAAGTTCCCTTCTGTAGAACCATCTGTTCTTAGGAGGAGGCTGGAATGCGAATCTCACAAGATACTGTCGGTCGGGGCTGGTGCCCCACTCGTCCTCAATCCATTCCTCGTCATATCCCTTGCCAGGGATCGGTGGACCAAACTGAGGGGGTCGGTCTAGGAATGCATCAGCTGGAGTGAAAGGCACCACCTTGGATGCATGAAAGACCGGGTAGGTGCGTAGATGCAGCGGGACGTCGATAACATACGACGGACCGAAGGGATCAACGCCCACTGTATCTAGGACTTGCCATGGACCCAGGTAACGTGGCAATAACTTGGGGGAGATATCCTCCTCCCTCGACAGCTCAGAACTGGTCACCCAGACATAATCACCAGTGCGGATGGGGGAAGGTAGCCTGTGGCGATTAGCTTGTTCAACCATAGCCTTTTGGGCTTTGAACAAGTTCGCGCGGGCTCTTTCCACATCTAGACGATAACATCTGGTGAACTCTGTTGTGCCTGGTGTCAGATCAGGCTTAGCCTTGTCGATGATGTCATCGAGAGGCTGTCGTGGTTCACGCCCCCAGTGTAACCGGTAGGGACTGAACCCTGTCGAGGAGTGGACAGACATGTTATACATGAGTTGTGCCCTAGCTAAGTGAAGATCCCAGTCCTGCTGATCTGGAGAGATGACAGGGCGCAACAACTGGAATAAGACTTGGTTCATCACCTCAGCCTGACCATTGGCTTCAGGATGATGACTAAAGGTCATGTCCAACCGTGAGTGCAGGTAATCCTTGCAATAGGACTGCCACTCATCGCTGCAAAATCTGGGGTCTCTGTCACTGACTATAGAAGTGAGCGGTCCATGGTGAGTGACCCACCTCTCAAAAAAGGCTGCTCTCACAGTCGGAACCCTAGCTACCTCTGGTAAGGGGATGAACTCTGCGTATTTGGAGAACCTGTCCACGCAGACCATAACTTGACGCATGCCACGAGGGGTGGTCTTGCCTAAATCTGTGAAATCTATCACCACAGATTCAGCAGGGCCATCAGGTATGGGCAAGGGTTTGAGAAGTCCCAAAGGAGGCCTACGGTGGACCTTATTCATTTGGCAGAGCTCACAGGTGTCCACATAGCGCAGCATATCACTCCGCATCTCCTTCCAGAAGAAGCGCTGCGACAGGGCTGCATAAGACTTTAGGAACCCAAAATGTCCACGGGCGTCATGACACTCTGACATCACCAGTGTCCTGAGCCGCTGGTCCTGGGGAATGCACAAGCGTTCCTCCCCTCTGCTGTAAGTATACAGCAGGTCCGAACTCAGAGCATAGCCTGGTTCAGAGTTAGGATCTGCTTGCAGATTCTTGACGATGGGTCCGAAAGTCTCATCCTGAGGCAGTAGATGAGCAATGGTCTGACGGGTCTCCTCTCCAAAGGAGTGAGTAGAGGAGATCAGAGCAAAAGAGTCAAGCCTACGAGAGAGGGCATCTGCTACCTTGTTGTAGCAGTCCTTCTTATGCTTCAGTTCAAAGTCAAACATGTCAATGAACTGAATGTACCATGCCAACTTATCATTCAACTCTCCCTGCGACTTCATCCACTGTAAGGTGGAGTGATCTGAAAAGATCTTGAAGTGTCTCCTCAGGAGAAAGTGTTTCCAGTGTTTCAAGGCACAGACAAGAGCGTATAGCTCTTTCTCGTAGGTGGAGTCCTGCAGCTTTTGAGTCTTGGTCTTCTTACTCATAAACTCTACAGGTCGTAGACCATTCCCATCATCCTGCTGAAGAACTGCCCCAATGCCATACCGACTGGCGTCAGTGGTCAAGATGAATGGCAAAGTGGGGTCAGGTAACTTCAGCACAGGCGCACGAGTCAAGGCCTTCTTGAGCCGTGTGAAGGCCAACTGACAGGGAAGGGACCAAAGAAAGGGAGTATCTTTCTTTGTTAGGTTGGTCAGGGGTGCAACCATTGCAGAAAAGTTCCTGACAAACTTTCTGTAGTATGAGGCTAAACCCATGGACCTGACATCCCTCACTGTCTGTGGCTGAGGCCACTCCTGAATAGCAGCTATCTTGGCTGCTTCAGGATCCAGGCCATCTCCAGAGATTATATGACCCAGATAGATGACAGAGGGAACTCCAAAAGAGGACTTCTCTCTGTTAATCTTATATTGACTGTCACATAATGACTGAAGGACAAGAGCCAAGTGCTCCGTATGTTCCCTGGCAGTTTTGTTGAATACCAGGATGTCATCCAGGTAGATAACCATAAACTTGTCCAGGTAAGGCCTGAAGATGCGGTGCATCTCTGTCTGGAAGGTGCCTGGGGCATTGCAAAGTCCGAATGGCATGACCAGGAACTCATAAGTTCCATACCTGGTCTTGAAGGCTGCCTTGTAGACATCCTCCTCTGCCATCTCAATCTGGTGGTAGCCAGATTTGAGGTCGACTTTGCTGAACACTATGCAGCCCTGCACCATGTCCTAGGAAGTGGCTCTGTGCTCTTCCTAGTGATCTTGTTGAGACCCCTGTAGTCAATGCACATTCTGAACTCGCCATTCCCTTTGGTCACAAAGAGAACGGGTGCACCGAATTCAGATGTGCTGGATCTGATCCAGCCCTTGCTGGTCAGGGTCTCAAGCTGCTTTCTGAGCTCCTCAAGCTCAGCAGGGGACATCCTGTAGATGCGGCCCTTGGGAGGGACCGCTCCAGGCAGCAGCTCAATGYGATGCTTGGTTGGCCGGTTGGGTAGTCCAAAGGGCTCCTGCATCAGATCAGCATACTTGTCCACCACCTGCTGTATCTCAGGAGGACAGGAAACAAGGGGAGCATCTGTTTGCTTAACCAGTGAGAGAGAGTAAAACTCTCTCGCTCTCAGGCAGTAGCAAGAGGTCTTAGGGTGATGATCAGCAGCAATCATGCATGGCTGATACACCCCCTGGCTATTAGGTAACTCAACCTTTGGGATCTGCCAGTCGATCCTTGGGTTGACTGCCTTCAGCCACTGCATCGAGAACACCAAGTCAAAAGGTAGCTCAGGGAAGATGTAGAAGTTCAGACTGTGTCTGACTTCTCCAGCACTATCGAAGGTCACAGGGATACCGCTGACCTTCTCCCTGATGCTGAGTACTGTAGAGTCACCAATCCTCACCAGCAGCGGTTGTTGCAGTTGTTGAACTTTCATGCCCAGATGCAACTTTTTAACTGCACTGGGAGACATAAAGTTCCTGGTGGCTCCACAGTCCAAGAGCCCAGTGATCCTGATGCGGTTGATCAGGGGCCGAAGTAAGATGAGATCAGACTTGCTTTTCTTTTGTTCCTTCAGATGAAGGAAGAAGGCAGCAAGTGACTGAAGTTCATCTTGCCCCGGGTCCTGATCCGGGTCAGGATCCTCATAGCAGAAGGATGCTGCCCGCGCAGTCCCCAAACAAACATCTTCCACATACAGTCTCAACTGAAACAGCTGCAGATTCACCTACCTAAGTAGATGAAGGTGCAACACTGGGGGGAACTGCAGTCCCCAGGGTCTGTTTCAGTTTTTTGAGTGCCCTGGGCCTGGCATGTAAGGGCAATCCTTTAAAAAGTGTTGTCCCTCACATCTCAGGCAGACCCCTCTCTCCTTCCTTCTTCTCCAGACTCCCTCATGGACATTGAGGTCATGCCAGGGGAGTGTGGAGGGATTGAGAGGTTCAGCTGGCATCCGGACGTCTTTGGGCAGATTAGGGCGCTGGGAAGAGGAAGGCCGACGTCCCTTTTCCTTCCCCTTTGCATTGGCTAAGGCTGTGGTGGGGGTAAACCTTTTCTGCTGCTGCAGAACTCCCAAAACAGCCTGAGTCAGGGCTGCTGCAACATCTGTATCAGGAGAAGATCCAGTCTAAGTTGAAGGTGTATCGTCCTGGGAATCTGAATATGAACCTGATGCAGATCCCGCATGAGTGAAGGCTGCCTTTCCCTTCCTACCACCTCTAGGGAAGGCACCTTTCCTCCTGTCAGAGGATGGGGCTTGAACATGAAGCTTTGCCTCTATGTCCAGGGCTGCACGGCCAAAGGACCTCCAGTCCTTGTGCCCAACGCTGTACAAGGCAACAACAAACTTCTCAGGCGCTGCCCTGCAGAAGTTGGTCAACAAATCATCAGTGGACATGACCAACCCAGGGGTGGAGGTAAGCTGCTCAAATTCTGCAAACAAGGCATGCAGGGTGCCGTTGTATCGCTGCTGTCCCAGGCGAGCAATCCTATCAGCAGCCTTGCGGGCCCGCTCCTTGTCTGCAAAACGGTCCTCCAGGGCCTGCAGAAGTCTATCCACCCCAAGCCCAAAAGCCCAGTCCTCCATGGACTGTTGCAGACTGCTGGAGGTGGAGGTGGCCCACTTTAATGCAGGTCCCTCCAGCAGTCCCAGAACAGTCGCCACCTTGGTCTGTTCTGCACAGACAAAGCCCCTCAAGTAGGCTTTGGTCCCAGCTGGCCAGTCCCCAACATCGGTCTTGGGGTCATCGCCCCTGAACTTGTTGGGAGCAGGGATCTTGGGACCTCTTTGGTCTCCTGCAGTAACAACAGCATAGGTGGCCTTGCCTGAGGCTTTTTGGGAATGAAATGGTGACCGGGAAGAATGCACTGTCCAGGGGGAGATGAAGGTGGGGTAGAAGGAGGAGAAGGTTTGGGTTTTATCAGAGGGAGATGAGGAGCAATCAGCGTGGCAGCAGACAGCTGAGCAGTCAAGTTCTGAATCGCATCCAGAATCTTAGACTGCTGAGCTGCCAGGCTGTCAACCCGCCGCTCCAAACGATCAAAACGATCATCCCAGTTCGTGAAGTGGGAACTGGTGATCTTGTGCTCCAAAATGATCATCTCTGCCAGGTGCTTAGTCACCTGTGCACAACGGCCATCTGAAAGCACCTTGTCTAGCTGCTGCAACAGATATTCCCTTCTGGAATAATCTGTTGCAGCCTCTAGCTCAGCTGCCTCCTGACGTTCCAACTCTGCAAGGCGGTCCTGTTGCCGCTATAGCTGCTCTTGCAGCTCCTCCTTTTCCTGCTGAGTAGCAGTCAGAGGTGGAGAAGGAGGAGTGGAGGTTGAAGGCTGTTGACCTTCCACCTTCATCACAACTTCCACCTGTGGCTGCTGCTGAGCCCCATGGTCAGACATTTTTCCTTTTTCAAAATAAAATCAAAATAAAAACAGCAACCTGAGTATGCAGCGATAGTCAGATTCCTTCAGACACCCTGGAATCGCTGCAAAACTCAGACACTGGAACAGATGGGTGTGTAGGCAATCAACGGTTTGGGTTGGAAGGGTCTCTCTGGGGTTAGGTGTCAGACAGACTGTAAGTCCAGCAAAATCATGCACACGATTTCCTTTTACTGACCCTGCACCACACTAGAGTTAGTAGAGACTATCCACTACTCTTCCAGAGACACACTAGATTTCCAGAGCCCATTAGAAAACAAGAGTAGTCAGTGAGAATGATAGAACATGGTTAGTACAGACAAGAGAGGTCAACCCAATAGAGCGATTCAGACAGACACCCTATAACCTAGCTCAGACTCCAATTTAGACCCTGATGACTCTGGCGGTCATACCCTAGGGTATAGCGAAGTACAGTATTCACTGTATCCAGTGAAATACTATAAATCCAATCATGCGATTCTGCAATATTGTCTATTTTTGGATTGCGATTCACTGGGGGATGACAAAATGGAATTCTGACGGACAGAATTGAAGTTGTGACTGACCCTAGTTAGTACAGGCTATAAATAGACTCAGCGCAAAACTGCAATTCACAGTACAGAATTCACAGATTGAGTATCCCAGATCAATCGCAATACAGTACAGCAGTCATAAAACAATTTTGGATCGAAAAGAGTCAATAGAGGGTTAGAAATGAGCAGAGAGAGGTAGGGGAGAGATGGCTATGGCTGTCATGCAGTCTGCGATCTTCACATCCAGTCACTGACAGACAGATAGACCATTATAATTGACTAATCTAATCCTATCTGGATCGCTATGCAAGTAGGTGCATGGAACGAACTCACTTTCAGAGAATCTTGCAGGTGTTGATGACGATCTGGCTATGGCAGATGATGACCCTTATCTCGCCAATATCTTCCAGATATTCCTCCTGACAATCCCACGCACAGAACTGCTTCAAACTTGTTGATCCTCCTCAGGATCCTGTAGCGCTGCACTCCCTCAACCCAAATGCACTGTATCTGGTCCTGTGGCGCCCAATATGCCAACACCAAAATATCTCGCCACAGCACCTAGTAGCCACTGATGCTAAAAATAGCCCCAAATGGGGTTATTTGCTTTGGAGATTGATATATACAGTCAATCTCCCCCAGCGCTACCCAGGGATGCTGCTGCTCAAGGTTCCCTGATGTCCTCGGGGGTAATTCGCCACTCTGGGTACTTCGCAACACTACCCTCAGGGTTGGCTATGGCGAATTAGCCCTGAACTCGCCACTTCCTGACAAGCGCCCTGACAAGCTCAGTGCGCTTGCTCAGTGCCACCACTGAACACCTGAATCCACCGCTGAAAGTCTTCTTCCCTGCTGGCTCAGTACTGGGGAAGATGAATCGCCATGAAACTCTCGCCAGTATGTCGCCAGTTGAAGAAGATGCCTCTGTGCGCTCAACCCTCAGTGTTCCAATTCCAATCCCGCTCCGATACCAACTGTTATGATCTTGGTTGTCTGACGATTTTTACCGCCACTCACACACAAACAATCTCATACACGCCCATACATGCATAAGAGAAGTGGGAGAGGAGACAGAGTCCACACTGCACACAAATCAAAGTAGGCAGCGAAAAACAGCTATGCACAGATGGGGAGAAGGCACACAATGTTTCTCTCTCTCTGACAAACTCCCAACAACCAATCACAAGTAGAACCTGCGAGGATAACAATTGAAATTGCACTGATGATGAACCA